CGTCTGAAAGGGTTGACATGTATGTGCAAGCCAAGTCCAGAATATACACAACGCACAAACTCCACATGCCAGAATGCACTGTAACACCCAGAAACTGTCTTCCATTCAAAATCAGTAAATACTGCTGATAAAAAACAAGACATAAAAAAATATCTTTTTTAAAAACAACAGTTTTTCTATAAAATCTGTTAGTGCTGACAAAGATACATTGTGAAAAGTTAAACTCATATTTCAGGACTTCAGCATAAATATTTGACATCACACAAGTGATTAAATCCTTGTTTTGTTTTGTTTATGGGGGGCAGTAGTTCTTCAAACTGATCAGGTTCTCAGTGTTGTCCCCTGGTGTAAATCTAATTCTGAACTATGGCTGTGCTGGTTTGTGGGACTGGATTCCTCGGGCTCATCCTTCAGATATTCACACAAGTAAACAACACTCATGGCTTCAGATACACGCCCCCCTAAACTCACCTACTCCTCTGGCTAATTAAATGTGCTTTATGCAGAGGGTTTTTTTTTTATAAACACCACAGTGTGTCACAGTGTTGATATAATATGATGTTTTGTTTTGTTTTTTTCTCCTCTTCCCTTGTGTGGTTTTTAGTTTTTCTGTTGTTAAAGGTAGCGCAACTGTGTTTGCTGCATGACCAGTTTCACCAGTTCCCCCATGTTTGTCTTGTATGTCTTCTTGAATGCGTGTTTCTTAACTGCCCCCTCCCCTGAATGTACAGCACCTTGTGAATTTATTTCTGTGAAAGGTGCTATATAAACAAAACTTTACTTACTTACATGGCAGGAGCATAACTGACCTGACTTTAAAACAATTACTCTTTCAGCCTCCTTTTTACTGAATGACCATCCAGGCAGACCATGGCTGGTCTTTGTAAGGTCTTACCAAGGACTGCTGTCTTTTTTGAAAAGCTCTGTTAAGTTTCTCAGCGTACTATTTGCTTTAAAACCTTTGTTTCTGTTGTTGCAACAGAAAGGAGCGAGGCTGCCAGCTCCCATTCTCTCAGTCTGCTCATCCCGCTAACAAAAACCGTCCAACGACTCCGTCTCCACTCTGCTGAAATCTGAAATAATGTTTCATATCAATGCAAAATACGTTTCTACAACTGCATGCAAGACAAACCGTGCATACGCTGATAACATTACGAAGAATGAAAGAGCAATAAAAGCATCAACAATTAAAATTCTGGGGTTTTAAAAGTTGATATATTTTATCTGCTGCTTCAAATCTTTTAATTCTGTGCTTGGGWTCCTGGTAAACAGAGTATTTTATATGAGACTGTTCAAAATAACAATAGAYTATTTTTATTTCAGTGCTTTTTCATTAAATACCACTAAAAAAGGAAATCCATCAAATGATGAATGAACACGTCGTCATAACTATGGTTTGTTTTATATCAACTCAAAATAACTTACAGTCAAAGAGGCAGTTTAGATATATTTTGGTGGGTTTTCTGTGGAGAACTTACGAACAATTATTATCTTTCTTACCTGTTGTAGATACCTCAGTTTGACTCTAACTGGACTGATAAACTAACAGTTAATTAGAGCAGAGCCTGTTGCTGGAAAAAAAAAACAACTCCAGTCCAAAAAATGTCATGCCATATTCAAAAACCTTTACACCATCATCAATATTGCTTTGTACAGTTGGTCCAACAGATTATATTATATAT